CTAATAAATTCAATCCTTATAATGTATAGAAGGAATTCCATACTATAGCCAAGAAGAATTCGTTCAGTTATATAAGGCTGATTCAACATTCAAAAGTCAATTAAAGGCCGGGGATTTAGCTCAGCGGTTCGCTGGCCTGCTGTGCAAGCGCAAGGACCCGAGTTCAATTCGGTTGGGGACAACAGTGGCAGAAAAAGAAACTGGGAGCGGAGGGGAATTTCTTCAACTTGGCATGGAACGTCTACAAAAACCCAACACTTAACATATTACTCAGTGGTGACAAACCAGTTTCCGAATGGGGCAATGCATCTTTCCAGTTCAGCGCCGTACTGAAAGTCCTACTGATGCATCCAGACAAGTCAGGAGGATTGAGGAGGAAGAAGCAAAACTATCTTGTATGTAGGTAACGTTATTGTTTGTGGACAAAAACCCAAAGAATCAACAAGAAATCTCTTGAAACTGATGTGTTCATAGCACAGGTCCAGGGGTACTACATTTATATAAAAAAAAGGTAGGCCAGGTGTGGTGGCACAAGCCTGAAATCCCAGCACTCAGGAGGCTGAGGCAGGAGGATCGCTGTGAGTTCGAGATAGTGCGTTCTGGGGCAATCTCAACTCATAGTGAGACCCTGCCTCAAAAAAACCAAAAAAAGAAAACAAAAGGTAATGACTTGCTGTGTATCAGCAATGAAAAATTTAAATTGGACATTAAAATCACAATGTCATTATATTAGCAGCCAAAGAAGGCAGAGAAAAAGAAGCACATAAGTATAAATATAACAGATATTTACAAGGTCTATATGAGGGAAACTATAGAACTTAGTGAAAGAAACCAAAGGTGTAAATAAATGGAGAGACAATCCATGTTCATGAATAGAAAGACTCAGCACGGTTAGGGTGTCAGCTCTTCCCCACTCCACCGATGCAATCAAACTCAAGTCCAAAGCTGAACCCAAATGGAATCCAAACCAATGGACGTTAGGTTCAACGTCAACCTAGTGGAGAAATTCGACTCAGGTCTTGTTCAGCTCAGTTAGCGACCAGAATCACGGAAAGAATTCAGCTTGTGGACCGAGGAACCACTGTATATTCAGCTCTGTCGGTCCAAGTCCCAGCAAGTTACTTGGGTGAATGTGAACAAACTGATTCTAAAGTTCAGGTGGAACACCTGAAACAACAGGCACAACACCAGGGAGCAATAAGGACATCACCCACCCCTAAGAGTGACGATGAGTCTCTGGTGACAATGGAACCCAGCACGGTGCCCCACAGTTGCACCTGCATAGATACAGTGAGCTCAGGACCTTGTACTTATGAGGCAGGCGCGTCACACTGAGCTACATTCTCCGCTCCTTGGGGTAAAATCTTGAATCTACGTTTCCTTGGGTCTGGCAAGAAGTAAACATAACATCAAAAACATGACTGATGAGGGCCGGGGATTTAGCTCAGCGGTTCGGTGGCCTGCCTTGCAAGCGCAAGGACCCAAGTTCAATCCCAGGTACCAAAAAAAACAAAAACAAAAACATGACTGATGAGGGCCGGGGATTTAGCTCAGCGGTTCGGTGGCCTGCCTTGCAAGCGCAAGGACCCAAGTTCAATCCCAGGTACCAAAAAAAACAAAAACAAAAACATGACTGATGAAAATAACAGATGATTTGGGCTTTATCAAAATTTATAACTTCTGCTTTGCAAAAGAGAATGAAAGGAGAAGCCGTACACTTGAGATAACCTTTGGGAAACAGTTAATGGGCTTATATTAAAAATACAGCAGGAATTTTGAAAACTCAACAGCAAGAAAATAAACAGGCACAAAATATTAACAGGCAATAAATGAGACAAGCAGACAGCAGCGACACGTAGAAGTTCAGCAGCCTCTGTCATGGGGAGCGGCACCACTGCGCACTTCTGGGGCAGCCAGAACCCAAAGCACCCCACGCCCCCAAACGCGGGCGAGAACAGGAGCAACAGGGACTGGGTTTCACTGCCGATGGCGTGAAAAGGTGCTGCGGAGCCCGAAGACGGGTGGGCGTTTCCAGCGCAACTGAGCCTGCTCTGACCCGTGGCCCAGCTCCTGGGCTCCCTGGTATTCACTCCGTTGTGTGGGAAGCCTCAGTCGGCACAAAGTCCTGTACAAGAGTGTCCACACAACTTCACTCAAACCTGTCCTAAACTGGAAGGAACCGAGGCATGGTTCAGTCGGCGGATGAATGGCAGTACAGCGCGGCTGCGTGGCGGCCCACGCCTGTATTCCCAGCAGTCCGGCAGCGGCGGAGGCAGGGGATTACTGCGGGTTCAAGGTCAGCCTGGGTTACATAATGAGCTCAAGACCAGCCTGAACCACACGCCAGACCATGTTGCAGAAAAAGAAAATAAACAAACTGTGGAATGTTCGTAATGACATCCTACTCAACCACAAAAGAAACCAGGCTCAGATTGCAAAAAGACATAGAACCTAAAAAGCATCCTGCTGAGTGATACACTCTGACCCCAACCAAACAACCTTCTGAAAAAAGGCAAAACCATGGAGATAGGAAAAAGATTCCTGGTCCCCAGGGTTCAGTGTAAGTAGAGCACAGGGATTTTTAAGGAGGTAAAACTGTTTCTTATGTTGCAGTATGAAGGTACTTGACATAATGCATTAGTGGAGCCCCATACAACCATACACGACAGAGTGATTCATGTGAACGTTAGACTTTAAAAACAATATGTCATCTGGGTATGGTGGTGCATGCTTGTAATCGCAGCGCTCTGGGAGGCTGAGACAGGAGGATGGCAAATTCAAGCCCAGCCTGGGAAACTTAGTGAGACACTGTCTCAAAATTTTAAAAAATAAAAGAAATAAGAAAGGGCTGCAGATGTAGCTCCATGTGAAGGCTCTGAATTCAATCTCCGGTACTGCCAAAAACTCAGTTCTCGTTGCAGTATTTGTGGAAAGAATTAAGTTCGTGAACCAAGGCACTACTACACTGGGTCATCAGTTTGTTTGTTTGAGACAGCGTCTCACTATGTACTTCAGGCTGGCCTTGAACTCACTATGATGCCTAGGCTGGCCTCAAACTCAAGGTGATCCTACTGCCTCAGCCTCCTGAATGCTGAGATTACAGGCGTGGGCCACTACAGCCAGTTGGGTCATGGTTTTTAACAAATGTGTCACAGTAATACAAGGTGGTGACAACAGGGAAACTGTGTACCAGCTACGGGGACCCATGGGAGCTCTGTACTCTGTGTTCTCCAAGTCAACAAATTCCCAAACTTAACTTCTAAAAACCAAAAGACGGGCTTGAGAACAACTGTGCGCTCGGCTACCCATCACAGAGCTGAGCTGAGGAACAGGCCAGACGTGGGAAGCCCCTGGACTGCGAGACAGAGTTTTCATTCTTTGGGGGCCTCCAGGTCCACTCCGACCCAAGCAGCCACTGATAACCTTCGGTGCCAAACAGCGGAAGTGGATGCACGAAGACAAGTCTCCCGTTCATCACCTCCCTGGGGCTAGGGAAAAAGCTGCTTCTATTAGCTTTCTATTTTGCCATAACCTCTGACTGAAAAGTTGCAAGGAGAGCACACAGAATTCCCGTAATTCCTCCCCTCCACAGATTTCCCAAACCTCTTTCTTCACTTGTGACCACATCTACGCCATTCTTTCTTATCATCAGCGTCTCTCCATCCTCATTTCACAATAAGCAAACAAGCACAAAGAAATGGCTCTGACTGTGTTTCTTTCTCATCTTTATTCTAATGAGCACTTACTCTGTGCCTAATACATCCCAGACCTTGTTCTAAGTACCCCGCCCCCGTACTGGGATTGAACCCAGGCCTTTGTACTGAGCTACATCTCCAGCCCTTTATTCATTTTTAATTTTGAGACAGAGTATTGCTGAATTGCTAGGTTGCCTGGGATGGGCTTGAACTTGGTGATCCTCCTGCCTCAGCCTCCCAGAGTTCTGGGATTACAGGTATGTGGCATCCACACCCAGGAAGCACTTTTCTGTGCGCCTTGCCATTTCCCCAGCATAGCACCATCTGACGGTTATGAGTATGCCCGCTTCACAGAGAGCGTGCTGAGGTGCCGGAAAGGTGAGTCACGCAGCCAGGAGGGGACAGAGCTGGCCCACAGACTGGGGAATCTGGTGGCGAACAAGGATGACTGAAAGACCTAGAAAAAGGCCAGGAACCCAGAGGGGACCCCAACCCAAACTCGCGTTCCCAAGGCGACTCCAGAGGGCGCACGCTCAGACTCAGGGCAAAGGATCCACCTGCCTCTCTGGGGAGCAGCGGGCTCACAGCCCCCAGGCGGGAGTGTGTAGGTGTGTCACACGTGCGGGTGTGCGGTGGGAGGGGTGCATCGCTGGAGGGGGCTCCCACCTGCCGGATAGTCCCTGCTCCTCCTCTCGGAGCCCCGTTTTCAGGAAGGCCTAACCCCTGCCCAGTCCTCTGGGCTCAGGGCTCAGCCCCTCCGCCGGCCACTGCTCCTACGGGGCCCCAGGCCCGGGGACAGCGGCTGCGTCTGTCTCTGGCTCTTTCCCCTGGATCTCAGTCACCGCCAGAGGCCCCTTCCTCCGGGAAGCAGGGCCTGGCTCCCAGGGCCGAGTCCGGGTACCGGCTTCACTGCAGCTGGCCTGGCGGGGCTTGGGGGCCACGGCCACAGCCCAGCGCGCATCTCAGGCCG